GGTCTTCTGCAAGAACAGTCAGTGTTCTTAACAGCTGAGCCATCTCTCCAGACCCAACAAAATATTTTTAAAAAAATCAAAGTATGTTTGTAACAGTGCATAAGTTCTAACTAATAGGCCTGTAGCTGCCTGGTTATTATTGTTTGGGGCAAGTTTTGAGTTTTCACCTTTCCTCTGTCTGGGAACTGCATCCAGGCTAAATTTTTCAAGAAAGTTGAGCTGCTATTGGATACCAGCTGGGGGGTTGTCTTTGAGTTCCATTCATAAAAATTTCTGTTATGTGGGGGCTATATATCAGTGGAGGACATACATACTGACATAACAAATTCTTCCAGGAATGCTTCCTGCTGACTGGGATTGTGTGGAGAAGCAGGGGGTGTGGAGACAATGCTTCCTCTGATCTCTGAAAGTACTAATCATCAAATCCCACAGTTGGCAGTTACAGACCACATTTATGGCAGTTCTCTCCTGTTTTATTACTAAGTTTTCAAATTGTATTCTTTTCCACACATAGGCTTCCATTAATAAGTGAGATTATAAATTCCTTGAAAGAAGGGACTTACTGATCATTTATAACATATAACTTACTGAACATTTATAACATTGCACAAGGTAGATGTGTAATAGCATATTCATCAAGATTGACTATCTCGAGTTATGATTAATCTTAACCAGCAGTGTAAAGGAAAAAGTACTGGCTTTTGTTCTCCCTTGTGACTCTTATTATCCTGTCTTCTTCCCTTTCTGACACTCATCATGTATTCCACGCAATCAGGAATCTCTTGTGTTTGAGGCACTGTGACAGATACTGGATAAAGAGTATTGAACAAAAAACATGCAAGATTTGAGGATTTAGATATAAAATAAAAGAGATCTAGATAGTAATGAACAAAATACATTATCAATTGTTATTAGTAAAGAAATATCAGATAATATGTAGGGAACTGTAGGAGAGAAGGGTTCTCCAGGTAGGTAATATTTAAGTGATATTTGAACTAGGAGGAGTCAGCAAGATGATAGGTTAATCTTCTAAGTAGAAGGATTGGGATGTACAAAAATCTAAAAGAAAAGCCAATATGACAGAATGCAGTGAGCAAGGAGACCACAGAGGTGGTAAGAGCCAGAGCATGGAGACATTTGGAGACTGGTGAAAAGTGTGGATTTTATTACAAGTACAATTAGAAGCCATTATGAAATCATAAAGAAGAATAGCAAGCTTCATTTTCAAAAGACCATTCTGAGTTCTTTATAGCGATTAGAGGGATCCTGAGTAGAAGCAGTGATGGCTGAGTTTCCTATGCAAGAGGTTCTTCCAGCTAGTCTAGCAAGGAGATAATGCCTTAGCGGTAGGTATACAGCTTATGAGCAGAATAGACATGAGGATAATGGAAATGTAGGTGTTCCAGCACCTGGGTGGACAGTGTTGTTACTGAAAAGTAGGGGTGAGAGGAGAGGGGTCAATTTTCAAGGGTATTTAAATATGGTTACTTTGAGATGCCTGCAAGAGATGAAAGTAGAAATGGAAGGTAGACTACTGAATATATGAGTGTGCATTCTAGTCAAATGATTCAAATAGAGCTAAACTTGTCCCCTTCTCCATCCTTCACAAGATTGGCACAGTTTCCTCACCTTGGCCAGTCTTTAATGTAGGGACAAACAGATGTTCTAAATCTGACCAAACAAATGCAATTGTTTCTTCAAACATTCATTTAAGGACAATTATTGAAAATTGTTCTGCAACTTCTGTTAGTTACTAAGGAAAATGCAAATATTACATAAGTATTAGCTGTATCTGCCATGTACAGAAAAATAAAGGGCAGAAGCCTAAGGACCATATTTGATCCCCTTTAAGTCAACCATAACTGAAGCCAGAGGAGTCTTTTGTTTTCCCCACTAGTCTTTTTATTCATTTGTGTTTTCAATTTGACTCATTCATTTAACTTCTGTTATTTACCATGAATGTGTGCTACTATGTTAGTGAAGGAGAAAACTACAGATCAACAGAAGAAAGAGAAGCAAAGTCAGGCCATCCCTTGGATGACCTGGAGACCTTGACTGGTGGAGACTTTTTATGTATAGTTGCTTATAAGCAAATAAAAATGTCTCTTTCTTTAGAAATTTCTTAAGAAGATAGATTCACCTCCATGATGGTGAATTGTGATGAAAAATTTCA